TTGCAGTTTGCCACAAGCCATGTGGGGGACACAGCAAACATGTGGAAGAAGCTGCTCTGGTCAGATGAGACCAAAATGGAACTTTTTGGCCTAAATGCAAAACGCTATGTGTGGAAAACTAACACTGCACATCACTCTGAACACACCATCCCCGCTGTCAAATATGGTGGTGGCAGCATCATGCTCTGGGGGGGCTTCTCTTCAGCAGGGACAGGGAAGCTGGTCAGAGTTGATGGGAAGATGAATGGAGCCAAATACAGGGCAATCTTGGAAGAAAACCTCTTGGAGTCTGCGAAAGACTTGAGACTGGGGCGGAGGTTCAGCTTCCAGCAGGACAACGACCCTAAACATAAAGCCAGGGCAACAATGCAATGGTTTACAACAAAACATATCCATGTGTTAGAATGGCCCAGTCAAAGTCCAGATCTAAATCCAATCGAGAATCTGTGGCAAGATCTGAAAACTGCTGTTCACAAATGCTGCCCATCTAATCTGACTGAGCTGGAGCTGTTTTGCAAAGAAGAATGAGCAAAGATTTCAGTCTGTAGATGTGCAAAGCTGGTAGAGACAGACCCTAAAAGACTGGTAGCTGTAATTGCAGCAAAAGGTGGTTCAACAAAGTATTGACTCAGGGGGCTGAATAATTACGCACACCCCACTTTTCAGTTATTTATTTGTAAAAAATGTTTGTAATCATGTATGATTTTCGTTCCACTTCTCACGTGTGCACCACTTTGTGTTGGTCCTTCACCTGGAATTCCAATAACATTGATTCATGTTTGTGGCTGTAATGTGACAAAATGTGGAAAAGTTCAAGGGGCCGAATACTTTTGCAAGCCACTGTAGAGCTGATAAATGTATTTTACTTCTGTTATTCCAATTATTGAACTGCAAAGATTTTTGTAACTTAGAAAAGGTGAAACTGTTTGTGTGTATTACATGCATTACATGTCAACTGACATGTAGCCATTGAGTAAGAGCATACTGATGGGCAGCGGTAGGGGGTGAAACACACAATGCCTTTGTTCTTATGGTATTTAAAGAGTCGCCGCTGTCATTTTACACGCACATGAGATAGAAAGATGGTAAGAGACTGACGATGGTACTGAAATTGGAACCCTCAAAAACAATCTATACCCATAAGCACTGGGAAGAATCTGATTGGATTTAACCCTGCCAATAGGGTATGTGTGTGCCATATGTGAAGATCAGCAAAGATGACATGAAATCTTCCCGCAAATATTTACCATGCTGGCTTTGATAAAACGTCCCACCGACCCCCACAAAGCCCAGGCACAACGCTTGAGACGGAGCCGCTAAATCACCTTCAGAGCTGGAACAGTTTCTCTTTTGTATTAAAACTTAATAAAATGGGACAGCAGTGCAAATATTTTCACAGCAGAAAATGAAGCCAGACACACAGGTGCACTGCAGAGGCCGAGCGTGGCGGCAACATGGTTTTGGCTCCAGAAGAGGCATGCGCTATATGTTTCAGTCGAGCTGATCCTTTAGAGTCATTGTTTCAGTCTGTTGGCAAAGGCGTGCAGTGCAGGCAGGAGATATTTATATTATTCAGCAATTTAAAATGTTTGCGTTTGAACGACTTGTTGAAGAGTAAAGATGTTTTATACTTCAGATGAAAGAAGTTTTGTTTTCAGGAAGAGGCATGATTTCAAGTAGAACAAAACATAAACAATGTAAAGCAGAAAAACCAGTAAATCAATTAGGATTCCCATATAGTGAGCTGCTCAGCCTCTTAAAACTCTTGGCTAAACACAGGGCCTGAAGAGAGGGAGAGATAAAGAGAGGGAGGAAGGGAACAGCTAGAGTGCATAAACAGATGGTCACTTAGCTGGTGAACATTAAATAGACATCAGAGATGCTGTAGGCACATCTGGAGTGGCAGGAAGGTGGGTGCACAGAGCTGCAGATCTGTGGGTTAATTAGACCAGGGTCAGAACTTCAGTGCGTGTCTATGTTGGAAGCTCACAAATTTAACCTAAAAACACACTTTTTTCACCCTCCATTTGCAGTATTAGTGTCAGGTTTTGCTTTTATTTACTTAAAGGCTTACGCCACAGTTTCCCCTGAGGTGACAGTAAGTAGAGCAGAAGAGCAAATATTGTGTTTCTGGTTATGAGATTGTGTCTTGTTTACTAGTTTCTAGATGTTAAATTTCTTCTGAAGCAATTGGGAAAATCCCGTCCTTGACATACTTTAACCAGGTTTCCTCTGGAGGTCAGAGGCTCAGAACGTGTGTCCTTACAAATTATATTTATATGACCCACCTGCCGAGTGTGCGTGCTAAAATAAATCACATCCAGCATTTAGCTGAATATTGTTGCTGCTCTTATAGAATCCATGGACATATTCAGAAGGATGGCTCGTTGTTTATGTACAAATACATTCACAGCTCTATCGGTCACATGACTGAGCACTTCCCATTTTTGCAACTCACATGTAAGAAATTAAACTGTGAAATGATTGTGCCTGTGTAACCAGATGTGATTTTAAATAGGAACTAAAGGTTGTAGTAAGATATAAGAGACGACAACTCTTCTCCTTTATTATTATTACTCAGAGGGGAAGTCGTATGTATTTAGTCTTGAATATCCTTTTCTTTCTTTTTTTCCAAACAGCACAGGCACCTGTTACACAAAGTTGGAAAGTTAGAAATATTTTCCACATCAAACTTGTGGAACAGATAAACTGTACATTTAACACATTTGGTTTTCAACGATAATGTTTTTTTCTCTAGTATTTTATATCTTTAAATCTTCATACTTTAGTCCAAGAGGACAGTACTGCTACTGCTACACCCCCATAAGGCTGCGTACGTGAACCTATCCACCCTTCCTTGCTGGAGATGGGAGGTGGAGGCCAGAGCTGGCGCTGGTGTCGCTGCCCTGTGTTCTTTGTGGCTATGGAGGAGGAGGAGGGACAGGATTCAGAGTCCTGCGGTGGGAGGTTTAGTGCACTGAGTGGGCAGCAGCTCCAGCATCTGCTCCCTCTTAGCGGCAACCACACTGGGTGTTATTGTTCCCGACAGAGATGAAAAAAAAAAGGGGGGGGTGGAAGATGACATATGAGGGGAGAAAAGGGGAGCGGTAGCGAAGCATGGAAGGCAAGTTTAGAGAAGTTAAATAAAGACAAGGAGACGTGTAAATCTGATGAAGTTTTAGTGACTGAAAAATGAGTCGGAGAGAGGGAGCGGCAAGTCAGATGGGGGTGCGGGTCGATGGTGGTGGGGCGGGGTGGTGAGGGGTGTCTTAAAAGCATCATTAGAGAGAAGGTTTTACCTCCAGGCATGCTCACCCAATGACTCACACCTAGAGCTTGTTAGGGCTTCTACTCACCAGAGAGGAGGTCGAGTTCAAGGCCACAAGCGGGGTTGTGTGTCGGAACACGTGGTGAGAAATGGATAAATAAAACAACAAAGCTTCACATGTCTGACACTTTGGTTTCAAAAGGAAGGGGAAACCACTTCCAAAAATAAAACCCCAACTGTCATTCTTGTCTTCTGACTGCTGGAACAATAGCAGTTTTCTCTAAGACTGCCATTTAGCATTTTGAATATTGTTGTTGGACAATGTGCTTATGAAGCAGTTTTTGGTTCCAACAAACTACAGATGCTGTTTACAAATTCCAAACTTTTTATTAATATACTCAGTATTTCTTTGTAACCACATTAAAAAGACAAAAACGTCATGATTATAATATGTTGTCCTCAGTGATGCAGCCTTGTTGGTGGGGTTCACACATGAAGACGGAAAGTTGTTTATAAAAATGTTGAAAGTAGAAAAATGAGATTCACAGCATGAAAAACAAAGCAGAATTTCAGCGTGAAAAGCTATCTACATTAGGATGTTATAGACCTTGTTCTGTCACCGAGGTCAAACAGGCTGTGTGCCGTTTGGCTGAACTCTGAATAAAACCACGTATTACACTCTCATTCTCACCCTTCTCCGGTTGTGTCTGTCCTTTTGGGATTTCTCGCACGTATCTGAAATGTTGGTAAGGTGTTAGTCTGCATGAATATGTGGAATGTGGGAATGGTTTTGGCTCTGGTAATCTGCTGACAGCTCTCTGTGTAAACAGCTATCCTGATAGACCAGGAATTATAAAGATGTCACCTGCCTTGCTGAATAGTAGAGTGGAGATTTTAGCTTACACCTGTAAGGTCAGCAGTTCATTGATGGCTTGTTCTGGGATTGTGTGACCGGTGCTGACCCTCGAATTGTCAAACGTACAGTACACATGTATGACTGAAAATGTGTTAGTCTAACTTTGGTGACTGATAAATAAAAGCACAGAAAGTCACTGTGGGTTAGTGAAATGTTCCCATCCCTTCACCCTTAATGAAACCTTACTTAAACCTTACAGAGATGCCACAGTACTGACAGCTGGTTTTGAATTAAATTCAAGGACCCTAACTTTAATGTGATGCTTCTCCATTCCTCTGTTTTTGTCACTCTATCTTTGCCTTCTCCAACAAATTCTTCCGTGAGATTTGGCACAGTGGAAAACAGAATTACAAACAAAGAGGAAGACCTAAAAGGAACCTGTTTAAAGGAACTGTGTCCAGGCCCCCCACGAACTAAAGAGCAATCTAAAACGCTGTCACACTGAAGAAACTGGATTGTCTTCAGTTTGTTTTACAGTCATCAGCTATACATTAAAAATAATCTCATGATCTCAGTCTGTTTAAATCGAGACTTCAGTCACGTCTGCGTCAGCCAGAGAAGTTCTGCACTTTGGCAGCTCTACTTTATTATTATTTATTTATTCTACATTTTCAGCTCACAGCAGCTTGCTCTGTATGTATCAACCATAATGTGCTTTTTAAAGAGCTCCTTCCAAACCTATATTGGTGTCTCACGACAATGTGAATTTTTATTCTTGGATAATATGATTTCCTTACACTTCAAATTTTGTCAAATCCCACCTGAGTAAAGGCTTCTTAAACCAATGTGGACATGTTACAATGGAAGGAGACTTACCATAAATCTGAGCGTGCTGGCATGAGCCTCTTCTTTCCACTGAAATATGGTTCAAAATCTTGGGTCTTGAGTCTGTGGGTGTAGTCTATATAGCCAGATACTTCCTGTCCAAGAGTATTATGATCCCTTATGAAAATGACCGACTGTAAAAAGAGAGAAAAAGAAGGAAACCCTCTGTGTAAATAATCATGACCATCAAACCTCTCCTGAGTAACAGCCAGTGAGGAAAAAGTCACTTGTGGAAAGATAGAAGGGATCTGTTACAAATCCTCCCACTTTGAAATATAAAGGGTCGTGTTTTACTTTGAATCAGGTTCAAATCAGCAATGAGTCCAACTTATGTTATACTTCAATAGGCCTCGCTTGCAGAAGTGGGATGTCTACAAAATATCCTGCTCAGATACTAGCGTGGGACACGGTCTGAGTCCTTCCACTTACAGTAACTAAAGTCTGAGTTCCGTTCCAAAACACCTACAGCTGGGGGAAGAATGTACTTTTAAATGACATAAAAAATGAAGTGCTTAGTTAAAACTTGATGTTGTGTGTCATTATAAGGACTCTTTGGTGGAAAGGGAGGGAGAGTCAAGTCAGAAAAAACCTATCCCGTAGAGGGAACCCTCTCTCATTGTTCCACTTGAGGTTTCGCTTTTTTTTCCTTATCCAGATTTCAGGGTTTAAGGACACAGGGTGTCATGTGTTGTGCATATTGTAAGCTCTTTGAAGCAAAGTTGTGATTTCAGACCAAGTCAGTCTAGTAAAATTACATGAAAATGACAGACCCATGCCTTGATGTTTAAAGTCTTTGGACTTGGTCTGAAACAATTGAAAACCTACCAGACAGGCATAAATCAACAACTCAAGAGGGGTCCTATCAGGCACACAGGCAATCACCCTTTACAGTAGACTTCTAACAGCAGGGTTGCCAGTACATTACATTTATTTATGTAACAAAACAGTGCAGGCCTTGACAGAGACCACCAAAACTGGGAGCAAAATATAAGCTGAATGCCTGTTTAGCTTAGAATATGAAATATCGCCTCTGTCAGTGCGCCCCAGGGTGGCTGTGGCTACAATGTAGCTGCCATCACCAGTGTGTGAATGTGTGCGTGAATGGGTGGATGACTGCATGTGTAAAGCGCTTTGGGGTCCTTAGGGAGTAGTAAATACAGGCCATTCACCATAACACAGGATGTGCAGGCGACACTTGGGCCACCTTAACTCAAACACGATCTGATTAAAACACCATGAACAGGTTTGGATTCTTCACTGCCAGCAAAACACATACTTCTAAGGACAGCTTCATGACTGCTCATCATGTCTTTGAAATTAGTTCAAACTAGACACAACCTGAGAAAAAAGATGATGACGAATGGTTCCGTCACTGGAATCAGACAAAGCAAATGGAAGCCAAGTTGTCCAAACCCCCTCAGGCGACAGCCGAACATGAAATGATCTTTTCATGTCGATTCGATGGTTTCGATAACACAGGATGACAATGCGTGGAAAGAACTGAACAGGAGACACACTCAGGTGTGAAGAGGTTGTTTTGTCTGCCATCACAAAGACAAGAAAGCAGCTTTTCTTTCTGTCTTTTCTGCCTCGTCTTGAGATAGGAGAAGTCTTTTTGTGGCCGACTTGTTTTGTTTACTCTGAGCATGAATGAGTCCCACTTCTCGGCCTACAGTAACACAGTAAGAGGATCCTTGTGGAATACCTCAGCTAGTGATATCACATTTGTATAGCTGTCAGGACACGGGCCATCTGCGGATCCCTTTACTAAAAAGGCATGAGATAACTAGCACTCCAGAGCTCAGACGAAAAGAGGGCTGCTTTCTCTCCACCTCTCAAACGTTTAAAACAGATGCTATCAGGTTCACAGCTGGCTGGAGGACTGAGCCATATACCCTATCTACTGGCTTCTGTCCTCCTGCAGCCAGCCTTGAAAAGACATCATCAGGTGGACCCAGCAAAGACAAAGATGGTCAGAAATTCTGATTAAAACAATAACAGTTTAGCTTGTCTTTGGGGTGCAAACAAAAAAAAAAAGTCCACAATTTTCAGTGTCCTCAGTTTCACACTGTAACACTTAAAACGTCTCATTTTTATACAGCCTTCAGCTCTTAGATGTGTTCAGGTCTTGTCAATCTGAGTGGACGTAACTGCAACAAGGTTATATCATGATATTAACAATACGCATTGTGTTGAGTTGAGTAACTGTATTTCAAGACTCTAGTAGTTACACTAAAATGTGACTAAAATTTTAGAATTACCAACAAATGCAACAGTATTTTAAATGTTTTGCTTACTTAGCATTTCTCTTTCTGTAAAAGTTTATTTTTTTGTAGTATAACTTCTTGAGAAAATAGTCTTTGACATAAGTTTCTGGAAAATTAGAACTGAAAATTATATCAAATCAATATGGTCCATCCATCAAAAACAAGCCACTGCATATTTCTGGAACTAGAATTAGGTGGGTAAAGAGCCATTTCACTCACAGGTCGCAGGGAAAGCAGAACAAACGAGTCAGACTCTATTATTTGCTCCAAACAAGCAACATGAGTTTCCAGCCGCCTTGTAGGAGGGAGCAGGGGGACCTCCACCTTACACCATGGAAAACAAGTGGAGGCCTTACATCACCTGCCAGCAATTACCAAGAACAGGTGCTGTGACCTCACAGGGCGGCGAGTAAGGGGCCCCACTTTATGGCAAACATCAGTCTATTTAATGCTTGAGCAGCTGAGCGCTGAACTAGTCTCAGGTAGAGATTCCAGCCTTTTGTGATACTCAATATTCAGTTTGAAACTCTTTTTTTTTTTTTTTTGTACGCAAGTGAAGTATTACCTGTGGCCACGAAACACAACAAACCATCTACAAGTTCTTTTGACTATACAACCTTAAAAAAGTCCAAATAAAAGCACTTCCATACAAAAGTAAGCATGTTTGTTAGTAAGCAGGATTTTTGAGGTTTGTGACAAATTGAGAGGAACTCAATACCTCCTTGACACACACATGTAAATTACTCCACATGCTGTTGGCCTTTCTTTCAAAGCCCCATGGACGTACAGTTTGAGAGGGCTATACAAAATCAAATCACATCAAACAGAAGCTGACAGGAGGTCTTCCTTTGTGCTTTGACAATGTTCTACAGGTGGGGACACAATGGCCAGACCACTTGAAATCCTGTAGAGGAGCATGAGACATCTGAATGTGTGTGTGACTGTAGATGTTTGCCTGTGTAGTGGGTACGACACAGAAAGAAAGAAAAATGCCAAATTAGAGCTGAATAGAGCTAAGTGGCAACAAGGAAATTGAAGCTTCGATTTTAGAAGCCACTTAAATATGTCTGTAGGATAGATGGAGGCAACCATAGATCAGGAGATCGAGAGAGTTGTCCAGTAATCGGAACATGAGTAGTAGAAGTGCCCAGCTGGAGAAGAAAAGTTTCATTTCCAATAGTTTGTGTTTTGCCCCATTTGTTACTTATAACCTTTTAACGCTTTTCTTTTACTTCAACCCAGAACCGGTTTGATCCTGGTTCTGATGGAGGTCTCTTCCTCTTAAATGGGTATTTTCCTGTCCAGAGGGTCACCAAGCACGTGGTCAAAGGAGCGATTGTTGGGGTTATAGAGTTTTACCTTGCAATATGAAGCACCTTAAAACAAGTGTTTCTGTGAACTGCTGCTATAAAAATACAACTGCATTGATTAAAATATTTGAATATACTATATATAAATATAGTTGAAATGGCTGGTGAGTGTTATTATCTTTTGAAGTACCACATATCCTTTAATCTAATGATTCCTTATTTAAATTTTAAGTCAACATTGCTTTTGGTCAGTCAATGAGTGACATCTGAGAAAACGCAAAATAAAACAAGACGAAGCACATTAATTCACTTCAATTCAATTTTATTAATACAGCACCAAATCAAAACAACAGTCGCCTCAAGGTGTTTTATATTGTAAGGTAGACCCTAAAATAATACATACAGAGAAAAACTCAACAATCATATGAACCCCTTTGAGCAAGCACTTTGTCGACAGTGAGAAGGAAAAACTCCCTTTTAACAGGAAGAAACCTCTGACAGAACCAGGCTCAGGGAGGGGCGGGGCTATCTGCTGCGACCGGTTGGGGAGAGAGAAGGAAGACAGGATAAAAGACATTAATTAATCAACTCGGCATTCAGTGGATCTGAACGGTTTTAAATCTAGCGACTGGACTGTAATTCCCTGTGTGTAGGGCTGGCTCTGATGTATTTTACTTGTTGTGTTAGGTAATAAGAGAATACATAGGTAAAGCAAAGAATTCATATTGAAAAAACAAGTGTTCCACTAAAAATAAGAAACAGAGTAATAAAATAGGCTGTAATGTAATGGTCTCAAATAGTGAAACAGCAAAATGTATTATCTTTTGCACGTTGTACACAATCTCACATAAATAAAATCATATCAGTAAACCTGTGTAGAGAACTGATTGTTTACTACCACCTTCACCAACCCCTCTCCCCCATCCCAAACACACACACACACACACACACACACACACACACACACACACACACACACACAACCAACCTGTCTGAAGGCCCTCATGGCCCCCACTTCCCCCATCCTTCAGCCCACACCCACATGCCCCCAGTCCCTGGGAACAATCCTGCAGTGTCAGGGAGCCGTGCAGGTGTCTTGCGGTGTCAGCTGCCATACTGTTTATTATTGGTAAGCTACGCTTTAGGAGGAATCCCGGGCCATCACTAACAACTGTGTAAATTTGTTGGGGTAAGGAAAACATGGCCTGTACTGCAGGAATGTTTTGAGGTGAGAGCCCTTTTTTTGGCTTTACCCTTGTCCCCTTTCTTGAGAAACATATGTGTGTTTGTCAGAGGGTTTAAGGAGGGGTTCAGGAGTAGGATAAGGGGGGGGGCTCATTGCTTATTTGACTTGGAAGTGACTTCACACAGGCTGCTTGTGTAATAGATGCAATGGCAGAAACCATATGTGGTGAGGTGTGTTGCATCTGTGGGGATCTACCCGAATTACACATCCTGTAGGACATGTGATCCAGAGCCCGCGTTCACTTACTTGAAGAGTGTAGGCAATGAACCAGGTCAAAGCAGTCAGTAACCTACATTAGCCGGCACTAATGG